TTTTATTTTACACTTAATTTTTTCTATCTTTTTCTTCTTTTTTTAGTAGCATTCATTACATTTTTTTTTTCACCTATAAAATAGACGTGAAAATTCATTTTTTTTTTTTTTTATAAATTGGATTTCTTCCATAAAATAATTAACATCATTTCTTAGAAAAATTTGTGGTTGATAAAAAATTAGAATTGCTCATCAAACACATTTATGTTTGTTTTTGTGACATAATCTGAATTTGAGTTGATTGTACTTCTAAAATATATAAGAGAAGATCTATTCAACCGTAACATAATATATTAATTAATTAACACCATGTATAGTCAAATTATATGAATAGTTAAATTATAACATTCAAAATATATAAATTTATAATTAAGTAAAATATATTTTATAATATATTTTAGAATAAAAATATTAATATATATTAATTAATTCAATAAGTTTTATTTTTAACACATCTATTTTTTTAAAAAGAATTAAAAGAATAGAAGACATCAAACTAAAATATCTAAAATAATCTAAATTATAGCTTTTGCTTTTTCTCAAAATACATTAAATCTAATATAGAAAAAAAAAAGTCTTTTAAGAGTTTATTTATATGGAAATAATATAATATATAAAAATTTATTTTTAAAAATAAAGAAAATATGATAACACAATTTAAAATGAGAAAACAAGTGATGCACTAAAAATATAAAATTATTTTACATTATTATTTATGTTAAATTATTAACTTTTGTAATAAATAAGAAAAAAAATATACTAACAATAATATTTAATTGATTGACAGTGTAAAATAATTCATGACCATTAAATTTTTTTAAAAAATTATGTTTATATCTTACAAATCTGACCTAGTTTAGGCATCAGCGGAGAAATTGGAAGTGTGGAGTTTGACAAACGAAGCCAGACAGCAAAATAAGCTGGCCAGAAATTCAATTCACCTCCGAGTAATGATAAAGGTTCGTACACATATATTCTTCCTTAGACATAATTTATTTATTTCTAAAACTAGAATTTAAATTTTAAATAATTTGATTATGTGACACAAATAATCACTATTTGTATCCACCGATGTTTATTTTTTTTTTATGTATAAATAGTAAGAATAAAAGGATGGAGAACATAATTAAAAAGAAAAGGGGAAATGGTAAATATACAATAAAAAATGAAAATAAAAAAAAAATGATGTATATTTAAGTATTTTGGTTCATAGGAAGGGGTTGAGTTTCCAATGTCATGTCAATTTTCAACATTTTCAACATGCTTGTTTGATATGACCAACTAAGTCTATGCGAAGCATATGTTGGAATATAATTAAGAAGCACATGATCATAATCTGTTGCCTAAATTTCTTTTTTCCCCTCCTCAAAGCCACTTGTGTGGACATAAAAGTAAACATTCAAGTTGTCTAAAGTAATACTTTGTTGGTATATATAAAGGTCTCTTTTTATTTTATAAACAGTTCAGCTTGTATATTAGAGATCCGGTTTTAAAATATTGGAGGATTAAAATTATATAAATAAAAAAAATTAAAACTACAAACTAAAAATTATAAAAGATTAAAAATGAAATTTTATTTGAATATTTTAATTGTATATCTACTAAACTAAGGATGGTCATATATAAAAGGTTTAATTTTTATCTCTAATTTCATCCATCTTACTTCTTAATCCCTATAATTAAAAATAATACATTTTAATTTTTATATATTAATTTTGCTTCTTTTTTTTAATCTCTACGGTTTGATAAATTTTATTTTAGTGTTATTGAAATTGACAACATGACTATAAAAAAAATATATATATATATATGTACAATGTTTTTAATTATATGAATTAAAAATTAAAGTCAATGAAAACTATATGAAAAAAAAAAATCTATACAAAATTATCAGCAACGCGTTTAAATGTGATGTTGGTAGTTGGATACTGTGGTTAAAACTTTGAAAATTCCAGTCAATTCTCTTTTTAAAAGAAAATTAAACATGCAAGCCACGTGAAATATGTCAAGGAAATAATGTTGGATAATTGAAACAGGTTGATAAATAATATCTCTCACACCTGTTTAGACTTCCATAGTTTTAAGAAATCAGGTAATGATATATTTATAAGCAGAAATATTTTTGAATATTCATTTTAAATCAACCAAATTAACAATTAGAATATTACATAAAATGATGATGTACTCGTTTAAAGTTTATCTAATATATCCTATTATACGAACAATAAAATTGTATTAGTATTTTTAGTTCTTAGAATATCTTTTTAATATTCATCTTTCTACTAAATAAAAATTATATATAATAAAAAAATAATTAAAATTTTTTAACTCAAATATAAATAAATTTCAATCAAGTCAACTTTATTAAATGTTCTCAATCCAAAAATACTCTTAAAACAATAAATAAGAACACTGTTACCATAAATATGATTAAAGATACATGAGTAAACGTACTATATATTTTATATGAAATCGTCAAAATTAAATACATCTAACTATCCTCCTTAATCTATGTGAAATTAGTTTCTTTTACTTATATCTAGGTCCAAAAAAATTATCATATAAGAATAATTTTTTTAAAGTGAGAATAAAAATGGTTAAAATTGATTATCAAATTAAAATAAATCACTTAAATTAAAAGACTTATTTAGAATCATAAATATGAATGTTACTTATTATTATCATTATCATTATTATTGTCATCATTACTCTTATTATTGCTATCAATGATAAATCAACCTTAAACTTAATTCAAAGATACGAGGACCTAAATTAGGAGGGACTCGGATTATTTTCTTTTGTACTTATATGATTTTTATATTATTTTAAAATAAATAAAAATTATTATATACCATTTAAGATATAAGTATAAAGTCATATTTTCTTTATTGTTAGTGTTTTTATGTATTATATTTATAAGAGTAAAATATGTTTTTAGATATTTAAAAAAAAATTAAAATTTTGATTTTAGTGACTAAAAAAATTTATCCTATCTTTATCCTTCTAATTTGAAAATACATTATTTTTAATAGGAATAAAAAATAAACTCATAACTATGGATAATACTCGAACTCATCTTGACTTTAACAGAAAATACCTAGTTTGACCTTGTTGGGATGCAAGCAAAGTCCCATATCATTCAAACAAGAGGATGAACATGGGTTTATATACACACAATTGTCTCCATTGGTTGAGAGGCCTTTTGAGTGGTATCCAAAAGCAAAACCGTGAAGGCTAGGCCCAAACCGTGAAGGCAAAGTCCCACATCATTCAAACAAGAGGATAGACATGAGTTTATATACACACAATTGTCTCCATTGGTTGAAAGGCCTTTTGGGTGGTATCCAGAAGCAAAATCATGAAGGCTAGTCCCAATGCGGACAATATCTTACCAATGTAGAGACATGTGTATGTGTGTGATAACCCCCCTAGTGCTTAATAAGTAGTATCAAAGCCAATGGTCTGATGTGAAGGTTGGGCCCAAAACGGACAATATTTTACTAATGTAGAGACATGTGTATGTGTGTGATAACCCCGAGACATGTGTATGTGTGTGATAACCCCTAATGCTCAACAAGTGGTATCAAAGCCGATGGTCTAATCAGGTGACTGGCTCGATGAGTATGATGGACCCTTGTGTCAAAAGTATTCCTAACAGTGGAGGGATGTGTATGTGTGTGATAACCCCGAGACATGTGTATGTGTGTGATAACCCCTAATGCTCAACAAGTGGTATCAAAGCAGATGGTCTAATCAGGTGACTGGCTCGATGAGTATGATGGACCCTTGTGTCAAAAGTATTCCTAACAGTGGAGGGTTAAGAGGCGTGTCCTGTTGTCGTGAAGTCATGATGGAGCTACAATGAGGCTTTTTGGGTGGTATTCAAAAGCAAAACCATGAGGACTGAACTCAAAGCAAACAATATCTTACTAATGTGAAAACATGTGTATGTATGTAGTAACCCCCAATGCTCAACAGACCTAATACGAGTGCACAAAATACCCTATTTGCTAAATTGAGTACAAAATTGACACATCCATACCCACTATTGCATTTATGGTTTTAAATAAAATTTTAATTTAAATCACTTATTTTAATATAAAATTTGATATAGATTTTTAATATAAAAGTTAATATAGATGATTCTCATTCTTATGTAAGAATATCATTATCATATGATACAGGTTGACATATAGCAAACAATGCTACATATATAATTTTTTATAAATTTGGGTCATTGGATCGGAACTATAAGGTGGTGCAGTTTTCGCAAGGAACTAGAAGGTTTTATCAATCTGAAATGCCAAAGTCGTTAAAGTAATAGACTTAAGAGAGAAAGGAATTATTCTTATTCTTACTATCATAAATGAGTAATTAAAATATTTTAATTAATTCTAATCTTAATGATCTATTTTGATTATATAAAGTTTTACTTCCATTAACTACAGCTGCCAGCAGAAGCAACAATGGGCGTTTTAAAGAGAAATATTTGCTCTGAAAAATGAAATAAATTTATCCATAAAATAAGCTTTTAAATTTGTTTTTGAAGATCAAACCTTAAAATAGGTGAAATCAAGTCTTAAAACAAGACCTTTATCAAGTAAACAAAACCTTGGGTTTATAATGCAGGTTAGTCTCCTACCTTAAAAAGTCTAGCCTATCCCAAACACTTCCCCACCATTGCTCGATTATTACTAGGGCTGGTTTAACTTGTTAAACTATTAAAGTTAAATAATCATCTGACATCATAATTTCAGGTATGGCCATCAGTTAAATAGAGTGGCAAGATGGATACACCTGCTAAGGTGCAACATGGAGAGTCCATGGCCTCGTAGGTATCGCCAGCCATATAGACACGTGTATACTTGTCAGAGTGGGTATAGCGAATGAAACAAACTACAACTAAATATCGATCACAAACCTTGAAGAGGAGCTTGCAATCTGCACTATCGGCTTCACCCGATCACAGGGGTAAAAAATGTTAGTTTAGGTAACAGAAACTCAGATTTGTAATTAAATAATTGTCCAAAAACGGTATATAATCACATAGTACTGCCTTTGTTAACTTGTCAAATATTATATGGCTTAAACAACTGCTCTTTCAATGCGTAAAAATATCAGAAACTAATCAAGGCTTTATACTCAAATAGAAAGACTGAAATTTAAAAACTTCACATGCTTAAACAATGAATTAGTTCACTCAGAAGAAGTCACAATCAAATTGATCATTTGACCTCAAATTTGGATGCCGTCCATCTAATTCACCGCTGATCTGTAGGAGACTTTGGTGTTCATGTAACTTTCGTATATTCTGTCTCTTGATTCCGTTTCTGAAAGAAGTGCTTGCTGAACATCGTTTTTCTCTGTAGAGTAACTCCGACTTTTGCCGCTCTGTTGTTTTCCTATTTAGGTACTCAGCTGTCTGCACCTGAACTGATAAGACGAAACAGTATTAGCAGTGAAACAAATGAGTGAATGACTACTCAGAGCACAAATCCATTTCTGGAAAGACTATCAATCTCCGTGCGACTAGCCACCGAGGGAGAAAGGATAACAAGTACAATATCCCGATATATCCAAAGAAGTGTATGACTTTACATTATATCATTTATATGGCTCTTCTGAGTTCAGTCTTCACAAGCACATATAAAGAAAAGGAGGAATAAAAGATAGGAGCACCAATTTCTAATTATCAACAGACTACAAACAGGTAAATAACATCAGAGAAACCAAAAATGAAAAAGTCAAGGAAACTTGATTCAAAGTACAATCTTCAGCCTACTAAGTACTAACAAGATTAAAATTACATAATGAGAGAAAAAAGGTGAGAAATTTGGGAACAAGATGAGATATCCTACATAACAAGGAAAAACTCTTGAGACAGTATGATATCAGTAATGTAAGAGAGAACCCAAAAGCGAATTCCTATCACAAAGCAATCTCGGGGAAAATGATGCCTTCAAGGATCTAGGCATTTTTCTCTAACCAAATACAACATTAAAGAACAGCATACGCTGCACACTTGTACAGAATTTTGGCTCCTTGTTGCAACCAAAATCTTTAGTTAAAATCATGAAAATCGGTGCCAAAGGGGCAAAGTTGAAAATGAGTGATGCACGCAGCAAAAGGACCAAACAATTTGCTGCTAACATTCTAAATAAAAAAAATGATTCGCAAGTCATATCTGCTTAGAAGAACATTAATCAAATGAATCTTCAATGTAATTAATGGATGAGGAGATACCAGATCCTGAAGCAACTGATGCCATTGCACAGTTCCTTAGCCGTGTAATCTCATTGATAATAGCCTTCAAGTTTTCAGGAACTATGTCTCCTCCAGTCTTCAAATCATCATTATTCCCAAGGCACGACAATACATTTTCACATGCCTAACCGACAAGCAGAAATTAAGCATACACACACACAACTAAACTCTAATAATACCATGTTTAGATACATTTCTCTCTAATTACTTATAAAATAAAAAATAAAAATAAAAACATTGGACTAGATAGCTTCAATAAAAGTTGAAGTGCATCAGTTATTTTAACTTATGAAAGAAGTTTACTTCATTTTACTTTCTTATTTTCTTTTCCTACTCGTTTTTATGTTTGTGAAAAAGTTTATTAGAATCACTCAAAGCATCCTTATGAAATCCCTACTATTTTACAAAGCAAACTCTCAGGTATGGTTCTATAACAAACAAACAATACAAATACAGTTTTACATCATGGATTCTAAACTCTCCTAAATTCGTTCTCCAAAACAAAACAAAAAAAAATATTACTAGCTAGGTCTCATGTCGCAGATTAAAATATGCACTACGCATAACACGCACCTTCTCTGCAACGGCATGAAAACCGTTGCGGACCGCGTCCTCCACAAAATTCAACCATTCCACAGGCGAAACTTGTAGCCATTTACAGCTAGCGGACTTGAGTTCCCTCAGAACTAAAGCCTCGTATCTCAACGCCAAACAACTCTTGAAAAAAAAAAAACAATTCAGAAACGCAGAAGAGAAGAAAAAAAAATCAGCAAGACGCCGTTTCATTTCATAGCAACTACTTAAATCGGCGCATTGTTACATAAGATAGTGAAACTGAGAAGCCGTAAAAGAACCTGTTGATCTCCGACGAGAGCGAAAGCGCGGACGAAGAATTCGAGAGTGAGAAGCTTGTCGAGGACTGTTTTAGCGGCGACGGAGCGAATAACGGAGAGGGATTCAGATCTGAGAAGCTGCGTCAAGCTGGAGCGAACTTCGATCAACGACTTCACGTCCTTGGAGACTAAAAGCGATTCGAGGAATCGGAGGGTTGCGTCGCTGAAACTGCGAGAAATGAAATTGGAAAGTTGGATACATACACACAGAGATGAAGAGAGAGAGAGGACCTTCTGGCTTGGATTTGGGAGCGAAGAAAGGAGAGTTGTTCTTTCACTGAGTGTGACATTGCGCGGGAGGAAGACAAAATTGCCGCTTCAAATAACGTCTCTCAGAACTCCAACTTCCAAATTTCAAAAGAGTGTGGGTTTTTTTTTTTTTTTTGGTGTTGTAAAGAGTGTGGGTTTAAATATGAAGAAAAAAAGTTGTCCAAAAAATGGTATTAGTATAATTTTTAAAAAAATTGTTTTTCCTAAATTAATATTTCAGTTATAAATTGTTTTTTTTTTAATTATAAAAGAGTAGATTTCAGTTACTTAGTTTGTTGCAATCTAATATTTGAAGTTACAAAGTAGAATTCTTTTTCTTATTTATAAAAATAATTAAGGAAGATTATAAACTGTATTCAACTTTCTGAACTAATTCGTTTGAGACAGAACTTTTTAACAACCACTTTTTTTTTTATCGATATGAAAGATAACAAGTTTTATTGCATATGTAAACAAATAAAATTGAATGAAGGTGATTACGATAATTATTACAAATTAGGGGTGAAAAAAATAATGAAATGTTTATATGACATACAACATTTTGAATTTTATCACAGTTCTTAGAGTGTATTTTTTTTACGGTTTACAAATTTATTAAAATGTGAAATTTTCATATTCGTAACATATTTTAAAAAGGCTTAAATATTATTTCTAATCTTTGTAAAATGAACAAGTATTAATTTTGATTCTTATAATATTTTCTCTCTATTTTTTATGCTTCTAAAACTTATAAATATTATTTTTTTATCTTATAAAATAATTAAAAATTAATCTTAGTCTTTATAAAATTATTTTCTTTGATTTTCACTCATCTAAAATTTAGAGTCTATATTTTAATCCTATATAGATAACATTTAATTTAAAAGATATATGAGTTTTAACAAAACGTTCAATTATAGATACAACTTAAAAGTGTCACTTAACTTTTTAATAAACATATAAGTAGTTAAAATGAATCATATAATAGTAGAGACTAAAAAAATAGTAGAGACCTAAATTAAAATTTACTATTTTATATAGACTAAACATACATTCAAATCTTTTATTATGAATGAAATAAAAATATATTTTAATCTTTTTAAAAAAATATTTATGAATGTAGCTATTAACAAATAATATCATCTTTCTTCTCATGAAACATAAGTGTATCGCTAAATCGTGACAATATATATAACACTCAACTTTTATTTCTCTTTTAATGCAGGCAGTTTGGCACTTTTGAAACTAGTTTCATCCTCACCTTAAACATAAAATTGTTATTAAATGTAGAACTTTATCTCTAAAAGAAATCGTTTGAAAAAATATAAATTATATATCCTTTCATTAAAACATTCATTATCAAAGAATTTGACGGTAATAATTAAGATAGTGAAAATTTTTAATATACAACATCTTGAATTTATCACACTTCTTTAGTGCGAATTGCTAGTCTTTTTTAAAATAGTATCGGAGAGTATTATTCTTCCTGTCACAAATTTAGTATTGTAACAACTTATTTTGAAAATTATAAATCTAATACCATTACTGCGGCTAATCCATTATTATATATGCCCACTCATAAACTCGAAGAAATTACCTCAATTCGGTGAAGAAATCGCTATAAATCTATTATTGCACGTGATTAATTCTTAAAAACAAATTGGATGTATTATCTTGATAGCAGACTTTATAAAGTAAACGTAATAGCCATAATGAAATATCAAATTATCGATTAGTTACTTGGATTTCCACAAACCTCTTGGCAAATGGAATTTGAAAATGAATAAAACTCTGCGCACATAAAATTTTATGGTAAAAATATTTCCTTACAAATTTATTCCGTCGTTCTTATAAACATTTTAAAAGAAATTTAACAAAATAAATAATTTTCAAATCATAATACTTTCAAACATTATTCAGAAGTACATTATATTCATTTCATAAAAAAGAAACTTCAGGAAATAAATCAGAATGCACTCGTACCCCCACCCTCGGAACAAATAGTTGATCATCAGCTTTGAATTTACTATATTATTTATTGATCAAGATGCATTTTGGTACCAAGATTTGATTTTAAAAAAAATAAAGACAATCATTTTGCAATATAACTACCGATGAAATGATCAAACGAATTACAACGCCCGTGAAAGTTGCAACAAAGAAGAAACACGAACTAAGAAGGTACATCAGGGGACTTGAATAACCGATGAAAATTTTGGTTCATCCTATGAAACCATCTCGAAGATTGATCAGGACTAAACAAGAGGGCATAACCTGTAAGGACCTATTAGAGATTCAAACCCTAAACAGGCAACATAACACAATCAGAACACTAGGTATTAGAGTAAAATTGAATTATATGTGCACTGAACCATCTGTGGACAAGGAGCTAAATGAACAAGCAGGGTACGAAGCTACGGTATTTGATATACCCAAATAGCACAAGAAAGTTCTGCTCGCATGTGATACGGAATACGCACAAGCCACGGGGATTAGATGTGTGAACCGTAAAACAAACTAGCACTGCAACTGTACTCATTATCATGCAACATAGACAAACAAACTTGCATTGCAGAGAATACGCAAACGAATGCTACTAAGAAGTGCGAAATCCAATAGCTAGCTTGCTAGAAACAACACATGCATCAAGTTAAAAAGATCCTAAATTTCCTATTAGCTATCAAGTTAAAATTACAAATAGATCAAATCAGTAAGTGCGAGTGCCAATATTAGAATAATAAGAAAGCAAACCAATAGGAAACCTAAATTTGCATTACATACATCAGATAAATATATGCAACAGCACTTTTCACATCGAGAAGCTTGTTTCTACAAGTTTTTTATCATGAAATGAGACCTGATTGAAGCTTGGTAGAATTTACGTACTAGAACTACATGAAACTTTATTACGGAGCAAACATAACATTCTTGTCGCTATATAATACACTCAGAGGTTCTTGACTCAATAAAGTGGTTTCATTAAAGTAAATTGCATTATTTTCTATGTTGAATTTGCTACCAGGCCTAGCTTTAATTGAGCTGCTTGGATGCCAATTTAAACAGTAAATTAAATCTTTCTCAAAATTGTCAAGTAAACAGAAAAACACAACTTCATGAAGCCTCACTTTCCAACAGACCACGATAGTATCACTCAATTGATAGATTATAAATGCTTTAATTTAAAGCAAACAGCCAAAATTACTACTTAAATCAAATTCACTTATAACATTGTGACTAAGATTTATTGATTTATGGAACCATGACTGACAACATTCTATTAATTAATGCCATCGACCGCTTGCACCAGATGCCACATGGGATGAGCTAGGAATGCAGGCATTTATCCACATAATGACACATGGTTAAATTTCCAAGCAAGTATTAGGGCACATTTTCATGATAGCAGCACTCACCTGAAATATTCAACACCTACCTTAGTAGCAGCAAGCAATTGGGAGACTATCCACTTGCCTCTATAAAAACATTCACATGATTAAATTAATCCCTGACTAAAATCAAAAACCCACCAGCTAGACAATTGAAACAAAAAGGAGCGGAAGAGGTCTTTGCTCAAAGTGAGTGAACAACCTACCTCTTTGCTTCCAGTTCAAGAAACCAGCCAACTGAAATAATTAAACCCTCAGCCCACAATTCATAGTACATAAAACGTTCAATGTCCAAGCTCTCAGTATGGACGAGAACGATTTCCATAATGATCACGCCTATCAGGCCCAGAACCACCACCATCTCTATAATTGTCTCTGCGTCTATCTCCACCGTAGCCACCCCTATTGCCCCTATAGAACAAGAACAATTAATTATCATTCAATTTCAAAAGAAAAATAAAGTTTTGACAAGGAAACATTAAGATACCACGATTGGTTGTGTTATAAATATACATAACAAATAACTGCTAAATGTACAGAAGAATTCCCAATCATATTGATTAACAAAACAACTAAATTTTATAACCATCATTTCATTGTTTTTCATCGACTTCATTGGTAGGTAAAAAGCTCAATACTTAATCTTTGACATTTATTCTTATAAAAGTGAGAACTATAGCAGACAATCATAGGAACTTACTGGACATAAATTTTCTTAGCAATTTTGAAACATAACATGAATTTTATATCCCAAAAGATAGAATAAAACAATTAAAAGTCAATATTAATTCAGTCTGTAATGAATACCCTTGGTTATATGCAGCTGGAGCTCTTGGTGCAGATTTTTCTGCCATTGCAACACTGATTTTGTAACCCCTCAAATCATAATCTGAAATGTAATATTATTATTAATATCCCATTATATGAGAAACACTATATAAATAGATAAACAGGCAGGTAGAAAAGAGGAAATTGTTCGATGAAGTACTATTGTAAAAACCGCCAGCAGAATGTGCTGCAGAAGGGTCTTCATAAGCAAGGCAAGCATCACCCTTGTTGTTTCCATTCTCATCAGTGTAAATCTTTATGTTCCAAGGCCACTGATCTTTATAGCCCCTCTTCTGTTTTATTCTTCCAACCTGAGCAATTAAGAACATACAACAAAATCACTGACATGTTCTTTCCTTTTCAATGAAGAGAAGACAAAAGTAATCATATTTCTTATATAAAAAACAACAAACAAATGAACCAAAAGAGACATTCCATTCATATATAAAAGACTCATGAAAGAAAAATGATAAAATGACCCTGTAAAGCTTGTGCAAAACTCTAATATAAAAAGATCAGAATATTACTTGTCCAATGCCTCCAAAAAGTTCCCTCAATTCTTCAATAGTCACATCAGGTGGTAGGTTTGAGATGTAGATTCTAGAGTTGTCACATGTATCATCACAATTCTCATCACACTGCTTCACCGCAGCAGGGGGTTCAGCAGGAGATCCACCAAATCCACCTCGGTTACCAGCACCGTAACTACTGTCATATCCCGCTGGAGGCCCAGATCTACCACCACTCCGCCCATCCCCTTGAGTGTCTCCCCCATAACCACCTGCGTTACCCCCATATGATGGAGGGTAGGAATTAGGACCACCAGTATAACTTGCAGGTGGAGGAACTGCATCTGTTCCATAACTTGCATTCCCACCATAAGAATTGTAAGTGGGTGGGTAGTTTCCACCTGCACCAGCACCAGCACCACCATAAGATTGAGCGGTAGGAGGAGGAACTTGACCATAGCCACCTTCTTCTCTCCCTTGATTACCTCTATATGAACCACCTCTACCATCACTACTACCACTCCTTCCACTATTATAATCATTACCTCTCCCACCATCATAGTTCCCAGATCTACCCCCTCCACTGTTATAGTCAGATCTTCCTCCTCGACTGTTACCATAACCTCCACCACCGCCTCCTCTATTATAACCACCACCACTGCCACCTCGGTCATTAGAACTATTGGGATTAGGATTAGGACTCGGAGCACCGCATTTGTTACATTCAACCCTTCTCGCAAAGTTCAAGTTCCCACAACTATGCATAACGATTTCGAATCAAATACGGAAAACGTCGGAACCAACAGCAGTAAAATTCTCACAGCTTTAGTTAATGAAAAACAGAAATTATTTTCAATTTTTAACAGAAAAATTAAATATAATAAAATAAAAACCTTTGGTTAGGACAACGCCAGTCTCCATCTCTGCCGCTGCCACCTCCACCGCCACGGCCGCCACGACCACCACCTCGACCACCACGATCTCCACCACCACCACCACCTGCAGAAATTCACATCAAATACGAACATGATACGAATATTTAAAAAATTAACAAAGTTAAAACGACAGAACAAAACAAAAACCTCGCCCGCCGTATCCACTACCACCACCACCGTAACCTCCACCTCCCCGACCACCTTGACCACCACCGCCTCTTCCTCCATAGCCTCCGCCATCGTTTCCGCCGTAGCCGCTCCTTCCGCCATATCCTCCACCATCGCTGCCGCCATACCCGCCGCCGTTTCCGCTGCCTTTTGCTCCATAGCCTCCACCGCCATCGTTACCACCATAACTACCTCCATAACTGCCTCCTCCGCCAGCACCGGCACCGTAGCCAGCGGCGGTACCGTAACCGCCACTAGCCCCATAGGACGGTGGCGCGGCACCGCCGCCGTCTTGACCGTACGCTCCAGACATGATCCGATCTAGGGTTCCAGGGACCGCGAGAGAAGAAAAATCAGTGAGATTTTTTTGCAAGCTGAGTTTGTGAAGTGAGGTAAAAAGAACGCACAGACTGAAATGGGCCAAACAATGAAGGCCCTTTAAGCCCTTCGCAAAGTAACGGCCCACGTTATCTTATCAATTAGGCATAAAGTCATCAACGGTCCATTCTTGTAGGTTCTAGCTTGTGTAGTAGCATCTCGAATAAAATTATTTATTTATTTATCTTTATAATAAACCATGAAAATGAAGCACTCCCTAATTCACCATAAAATAAATAAATAAATAAATAAAATAATGAAATTAAAAAAATGTACGATAGTGAGATAGCTAAATAAATTAGTTAAAAGCTAAAATTGTCAAATAGATGTAAACACGAAAATTATCATCTTTATTAATGTTATCAATTAATAGTCTAATTTGATTTTTTTTTTAAATATTTTAACCTATATAATTATACACAGAAAAAAAAATATCTTAAAAAATATTTAATATGCAAAATATTTTTATTTAAAAATTTTAAATTAAAATTAAAATTTTTCGTATATGATAGTTATTTTACAAATTTTAAAACATATCCATGAGAAGTTGAGAATCCTATTTTTCTAAGTTAGGGAAAAGTTATAAAAAATTATAATATTTTTTTTAAAATAAAAAATACATAGTTGGAATTCATATTCTTCCAAATTCATCTTCTCACATATTTCTTTGTTTATTTTTCAATTTTTGAGAAATAGATAATAATATTGTATTCTCTCATAAATTCTATATAAGTCTTTATCTCAATCATGTTCTTATACGTATATGTGATGTGAATATTTTTACTGATTCAAAATCCATTATTTCATTATCTTCTATTTGATTAATTTTGTATTAATATCTATTGAATTAAATTAATAAATTACGTGTTTTTGTTTCATTAAATATAATTTCAATATGCAAAATCTAACTAATATTTTTTTATTCATTAGTACTTGAATAATAAACATAAAAATACTCAGTAAAAAAAATAAACATAAAAATATATTGATTTTATTAACTAATTAAAATATAATTTTTATTAAATAGTTCATTTGACATATTATTTTGTATCCTTTTAATTTTTTTTTATCACTTTTAATTATATTTTTTAAAGAGTAAAAGCAAAAAAAATCAAATAATTATATTATTTTCATAATATATGGTATTTTTATAATTATTTAAAAATTATAAGTTATAAAAAAATATTTAATAATACTATTTTAATAAAATAATATTTTCATAAAAAATATTTATATGCTAAAAAAGTAATATTGGAATCAAATTTGAGAATCTTTATATCTCAAGAAATTTATATAAATATTTCTAAAAATCTTTATGAATAAACAAACAAAATTTAATTATTTTTAAGAATATGATTCTCAAAATTTATAATTCTCATAAATTTTTGAATATGAAAAAAATTTCTCCTACGAAACATCTCCTAATAAGAAAATATTCATTTCATGTCATCTTATTATTCTAAGAATGCTTTTGTAAAAAAAAGTTAATAATTATTAGAGTATTTATTCTCATATTTATCAAAAAATTAAAAATAAATATTATATTTATGTTTTAGTCAAATTTGTTGAAGAGTGAGAAGATGATATTTTGATGGGAATATAAAAAAAATTATTTTTTATAACACTATTCATTTTTAGTTTTAAAAATATTTATAGAAATATTAAAATGTAATCAAATATTTTTAAAATATATTCATAAATAAAATTTTAAGAAATATAAGTGAAATTTCTAATAATATAATATGATACCTCGAAATAAATATTAGGTTAAAACCCTATTTTGGTCCCTTATAATCTTTTTTTTGTTTCAATTTAGTCTTTCATTAATTTTTGGTCTCAATTTGGTCCCAAATTAATTAATTGGTTTCAATTTAGTCCTAAATTAATTAATTAGTTTCAATGTGGGACTTTCCGTCCAAATTGCTTTAACGGTGTTAACTCTTGGCCACGTGGACGCCACGTAGATGCATACGTGACATTCACGTGGATGAGAATATTTTTTAAAACACCTGGACCTAGAACGGCCTGTTCTGAAACCGGAACGGGCCGTTCTAGTTGCAAAATAAAAACACCACCAGTGAATCAGAACGGGTCGTTCTGAAATCAGAACGGGTCGTTCTGCTTCCAAAACGGGACGTTCTGAAATAAGAACGGGACGTTCTGGTTTCAGAACGGCCCGTTCCAGAACTGTGAATAAAATATTATTTACTTAATTGTGTTTTTGATATTATAATTATGCAATTTTGATCTCTAAGGTTTTAATTGAGTAATTTCAGTCCTTAAAAGATTATAATTGTGTAATTTTAGTCTCACAATTTTTAATTGAACAATTTTAATCTCTCAAATATCATAATTGTGGAATTTTAGTCTTTCTCATTAAAAATTTAATAATTTTAAAATTTTAATATATATATAATGTTTTAAAACTATATAATTATTTGTTTATTTAAATTAACGTATATTATTTTTTTTAATGTATCAAATGATATATATTTACTATTACTAAATAAATAAAATTTATATATTATTAGTATTTTAATATTACTGATAAATTAATATCAATAATATTTTTACCCTTTTTATAAATAAACTAATAATTTGATAAATATAACTTAATATATATTAATATACTTTTACAAAAATATAAATATATAAGATCAGATATATATTTCTAATTAATATACTTATATTTTTGTAAAAGTATATTAATATATAACAAGTTATATTTATCAAATTATTAGTTTATCTATAAATATATTAATAATATTATTGATATAATATCGAAAATTATAATATACGTTAATTTGAATAGATAAATAATTATTTAATTTTAAAACATTATATATATATATATA